GCGATTTGGCTTTATTTGAAATAATCATACATAATTGGATAAAATCATTTTATTACAATAATAACATTTTTCTTGTGAATCTGGTGGACCATCAAAGTGAGTTCTCCATTCTGATCTGTTGTGATGAATATGGCATGGTAACTTAATTTGAAGAATGAAGTTATTTTTGTAACTTATTGGTAATTTACCCCACGATTCCAAAAGTTCAAAGGGCTTTGCATGTTTCAATAAATAATCTAACGGAATTCTCAATAGTTCTTCGCTTGTAAAATCTGAGAGTAATTTTTCACCATTCATATGAGCTAGAACATTGTCTATAGAAGAACAACAATTCATTTTTGAGTTTTTCAGTATTGGTGATTGTTAATAACTTTACTATTTTTGCAATATAACTTTGATAGCAATTAAGCGTTAAGCGATTAACAATAACGGTCTGCTTTTAATTTTGAATCCTTTCAAGAGCTTCTACATCCCATGGAGTTTGCAACACTATTGAGGAATAAAAATTCAGGAATTGTTTAAATATTCTTTAATTTTCAAGAAAGAGTAGAGGTGGGTATTGGTTTGATAGCTGAAGCCTTTGATTTGAAATTTTGGGAATTTGACCTGTTAATCCGGGTCCCGTGGGAACTTTTTCGATAGCGTGGGAAATTTTTCGATAGCGTGGGAACTTTTTCAATAGCGTGGGAACTTTTTCGATAGCATGGGAACTTTTTTGATAGCGTGGGAAAATCGGTTCCTTTGATATGAAATTAGAATTTGACCTGGGCCAACCCCAAAATTTGTGAATCTGGTGAACCATTTACGTAGAAGAGGTCTGGGGGCACTTGAGTCAGCTTCAGGGAAGGGGGTTTACAGTGGTATGATGGCTGTGCTGGAGGGGGGTTTTACATGGTAGAGGTGGGTATGTGGTCTGATAGCTGTGAAAGCACTCTACTGGTGCGGATGTTCTCGCTTTAAAAAGGCACGGAGGGTGGCGATCTTCCACAGTCGCGGAAAGTTATGTGGCCGACTCAAGTGCAAATAAAGTAGATACGGCCAGAAGAATTCTAGGTAGCAGCGAGAATATAAGATTTGAATCCGCAACTCCCAGCACAAGTTCCTCTATGATAGTCGAGGATTCCTTTAGTAGTAAGGATTCTAATATTTTAACTTCTTCGACAGGAAAGTATGCCTATGTTAAATGTAACTAATTGTACAAATGTTTCTTTTACTTTCAAAATTAAAAAGTAAATAACCATGAAGTATCGCATTTTTATATTACTAGGTAGGTACCTATCTGTTTATGCTAATTTCAACTTTTGGACGTCTAATGGCCATTTGCACTGACCATTTTAAGGAACCCTTAGCGATAAGTAGGTATCTTTTAAAATGACAGTTTTTGATGGAAAAATGTCACATTAAGGAATACTTATCGCTTAGGCTACCTTAAAATAGTGGGTCCAAATGGCCATAGGTATTTTCTATTTGTTTCAATAAAATAGTATCCTTAATTTGTTTTGGGTTTTTTATTTAAGAAGTCGAGTGTTTTTGTCACATTATTTTGACAGAGATATGAAAGCAATTTTCACCTTTCATATCAACACTTTTTTGACCGGGTCAAAAAAGTAACTTTATTTACAATCATACATGTAATGTTGACTTTACTGACTTTTAAAAAGTTCGAAAATGTCACTTTTTTTACTTTTACTTTCGGCCCACGGGTCGAAAGTTTACTTTCGACCCGTGGGCCGAAAGTAAATGAAATTTTTAAAATTTATTGTATTTTTTGACTTTTACTTTCGGCCCACGGGTCGAAAGTTTACCGGGCCGAAAGTAAATGAAATTGTTAATTATTGTATTTTTTAGTTTTAATCCAAATGAAAATTTCAAAATTCGAATGATTGAAAATAAAATAGTATACATACCTCGGTGAAAAGTTTCATTACTGTCGAGAGATTTAAGTTAGACCGAGGCGCAGCCGAGGTCTAACTGAAATCTCGAGTTAAAGGGGGTGTGCGCCAAAAAAACAACTTCATCTCAAAAAAAAGAGAAAAAAATCTAAGAATAACAGTGAAATCCGCACCCCTCTATGACAAATAATACCGCAGATATGGCTCTATGAAGGTACCGCATCTCACCCTATGACGTCACGAAAGCTCAAGCGACGCACGAGAAAGTGGATTTAATTAAATTTACATAAGGCGATTTCCAGCCTGAAATGATTATTTATCGGTAAATACCGTGGTTATTCTTTTGGTTGACAACTTTGACAGCCAAGTGTGACGTCATAGCCCCCCACCATCCAAGAATCATAACCCAAGGAACTGACCGCTGAAATGATTTGGTTATAGCAGTGTAGGATTATGTTTATTATTCTTATTTGTTTTTTCATTTCACCAATTGTTTTTTGTTTAGGTACAAAAAAATGGAGCTGAATCTCTCGTTAGTCTCGTTTATCGAACAGATTTTCTTTGGGGATGATCTAAACCTTGATCTAAACATGGTAAATTGCAGTGAGTGAGTGAATGTATACTTCTTTCATTGTGCCAGGCTACAACGCAACTGCAAAATCACAAAACACCAATACAAATTCCAAAAATAATAACAATAACATCAAAAAGCTGTAACCAAAAGATTAACCCAAGTCCAAAGCTGGGTTATAATCGGTTATAAGTGGTAAATACCAAAAGCAAATCAGCTGATATGTGACGTCACAACTTCCCCTACTTTGGTTAAAACCGCGACGGCGGAAATGCATTGGTTATAACCAAATAATAATCATTCCAGGCTGAAAATCGCCTACATTGTTTTTCCTGTGTTACCTGCAATAATCTAAACAAAAACCATTCCCGCGTGCCGGGAACAATCAAATTAACAATGCAGAGCGCCGCTGGACGAAGTTTTTCGTGACGTCACGAGAGCGTCGTCCACACTTTAAAGCGGTATATCTCAGCGATGATTTATCGTAGAATAACGAGGTTTTGAACAGTTATTCTTAGATTTTTTTACACTAAAACTTTAATTTTTGGCGCACACCCCCTTTTAAGCTACATCCTCAATCAATCTGGTAGCGAAGTGGCACTTCGGCACGCGTGCTAAGAATTTGATACCCATCCTCAATGCTGTCAATTTTCAGTCTGCTGTGCGTGTAGTACGGTCACGAACCGTGCGCGCGGTATTTTGATCTGAGTTCTCCGAGCATAAATTTACCGTTCGTTTATTTAAAAAGTGTACTGCAGGCTCATTCACGTTCGTTTATTAAAATTTCGAGCCCTCTGATACAGCGTTTAAAGGCGTTTAACTGCTCTGTGCGCTCGCTGGTCACGTGATTACAGCTCCGCTCTGCTCTTCGAGCAGAATACCGAACGCAAGAATAACCTGAATTATTTTTTACCGTACTGCGCGTGACACATGTCGGCACGCATCGAAGCTTGCAAGCTTGCACTTCGGAGTCGACGTGCATGCCAGCACGGAATTGAATTGAGGATGCCAACGTTAAACAACATTATCCTAGCATGCGTGCCGAAGTGCCACTTCGCTACCAGATTGATTGAGGATGGGCCTTTAGGTGTGCGTTATCCTTTGTCTTACACGGTCACAGTACCAGCTTTTAACGTGACGTAGATACCGTGTCGAAGGTGTATTCCCGGCTTTAGTGTCGATGACAACCAGCCAGCAGACATGGAGTGCGTCCAAAGACGGCAATGCTAATGCCAAAACCTTCTTTTCCCCTTCTACCGGCGATGCCAAATCTGGTGTGAATTTGCTGGAACGCCAAATACCGTTTCTCAATTAAGGCAATCCAAACCACGTGACATTCAAGATGGCGTGGCGTCCAGACATGAACCAAGAAAACACAAAAAAATATCTAGTTTCTGCCCGACTTGGGGCCATATTCTCGGTAGTTCATAAAGCTTGGCTTAGTGGAAAAGCTCGGCTTTGTCACACAAAAAGCCAAGCATTTCCACTAAGCCAGGCTTTATGACCTACGGAGAATATGGCCCTTAATAGTTTACGTACCTAGTTAACAAATATTTTATTGAATAATCAAAATCAAATCTGCAAACAAACAAAATAATTGAAATATGCATGAAAACACAATATTCAAAACTAACTTGCTGGCCGCCACGCCATATTGAATTTGGTCCCATCCAATCAAAATTCGTATAACCATTTCTAGACTTAGTTGAAAGAGCCTCCAAAAGTTACTTTACCGCGACCGATTTTGAACGTGTAAAGACTGTAAAGACAACCGTTTTTCGCACGCTGGAGCCGAACTTGAACGCAATATGCCAATTTTGGCTCAGAGGGCTGCGTTCAAAACGGCTAAAGCCGAGCCAAAATTGGCATATTGCGTTCAAGTTCGGCTCCAGCGTGCCAAAAACGGTTGGCTTTACACGTTCCAAATCGGCCGCGGTGAAGTAACTTTTGGAGGCTCTTTCAACTGAGTCTAGAAATGGTTATACGAATTTTGATTGGATGAGACCAAATTCAATATGGCGTGGCGGCCAGGCAAGTTAGTTTTGAATATGGGTTTTCATGCATATTTCAATTATTTTGTTTGTTTGCAGCTTCGATTTTGATTATTCAATAAAATATTTGTTAACTAAGTACGTTAACTATTAAGTCGGGCAGAAACTAGATATTTTTTGTGTTTTTTGGTCCATGTATGGTCGCCACGCCATATTGAATGTCACGTGGTTTGGATTGCATATTGAGAAACGGTATTTGGCGTTCCAGCAAATTCACACCAGATTTGGCATCGCCGGTAGAAGGGGAATAGTAGGTTTTGGCATTAGCATTGCCGTCTTTGAACGCACTCCTGGTATGTTGAGTGATTAGAAATGTCATTGGTGATTAGTAAGCGGCTTTGTTCCAAAAAGTGAAATACACAAGGTAGAACAGTTTTGATTGGCCTAGAGCTGATTTTCATCTGTTTTCAACAAAGCCGCTGATTAATCATTCAACATGTTGAGTGCTGGTGAACGCGACCATTATGTCACCTTTCCTTCTAACAAGTTTCATCGTCCATTATCCAGATTTCAGATAAAAAGAGTAAAAAGGTTGTGGAGTTGAATAACTGTATCCACAGTTTGTCTTTGTGTCCATTCGAGCCACTATAGTTTTGTTGTGCCTTTGTTTGTTGAAATCAGCAGCGAACTGGATGAAAAGGTAAAGCGTTTAATATCGCAAATTGACGCAAGTAAAACACATTTGGAATCTTATGATAATTTCAAACATTTAATTGATAGAACACTTGCGCAAAGGAAAAGTAAATGGGTTTTGTCAGCTCTTTTTTTAGAATTGTTGTTTGTTATTGAACTAGAGATGATTCCTACATTGCATTTTCATCTGATCCGTTGTCCTTACGTCGGGGAAGTTAGCAACACATTGGAAGCAAGATCTTTAGGATGCACCTCTGCTTGTGCTGCTAGATTACTGCTTTCTCCTGCTTCAAAGTTCAAGCCGCAACCCAGCAAAATATAGCGATTTCCATTTTGGTTGCTAACTTCACCGTTGGCAACACATTGGATGCAGGATTGCTGAAACAGATTCCTGCTTGTGCTGCTATGGTCCTGCCTCATTCTGCTTCAAATCTGACCCCGGCAACACGTACTATTTTCGGGATAAAGCGATTTTTATTTTGGTTGCTAACTTCATCCTTGGCTCGACCCTTGGTAACACACTGGAAGCAGGATCGCTTAAACATATTTATGCTTGTGTTGCCATGGTCCTGCCTGATCCTGCTTTGAAACACACCCTGGCAATACCTACTATTTTCCAGATATAATGATTTCCATTATAGTTGGTAACTTCACCCTTGGCTTGGCAACACAATGGAAGCAGGATCGCTCCAAAATGTTCCTTCTGCATTGCTATAATCCTGCTTCAAGAACTGCTTCAATCACTCCAGCAACACCTAATATTTTTGAGACACACATTGGTAGCATTACAAAAGTCTAGTCGTACGACGAGCTTGAGACACTGTTGTCAAATGTATCATAATGAGTGCTTGTCTCTGTATGTTGGTATTTTCGACGAAAAGATCTAATCCAAACTAACCCGTACTTTTATAATGAATGCTAGTCTTTGTATGTTGGTATTTTAGACGAAGCTAGCTAACCTGTCCTCATACTAAGTGCTTGTTTTTGTTTGTTGATATTTTTGACGAAAAGAGCTATTTTAAAGTAGCCCGTCCTCATACTAAAAGCTAGTCTTTGTATGTTGGTATTTTAGACGAAAAGAGCTAATCCAAACTAATCCGTCCTTTTGTAATGAATGCTAGTCTTTGTATGTTGGTATGTTAAACGAAAACAGCTAATCCAGGCGAACCCAAACTAACCCGTTCTCATACTAATTGCTAGTCTTCATGTGTTGGTATTTTAGACAAAAAGAGCTAATCCAAACTAACCCGTCCTCGTAATGAATGTTATTCTTTGTATGTTTGTAATTTAGACGAGAAGAGCTAATCCAAACTAACCCGAGAACTAACCCGTCTTCGTAATGTATGCTAGTCTTTGTATGGTGGTATGTTAAACGAAAAGAGCTAATCCAAGGATTGAATTGAAACTAACCTGTCTTCCTAATAATCTTCAAGAAAAAAAGAAAAGCGCTACGGAAACGCAGAGAGGCCACCTATCCCAGGACGGGTTAGTTTCAATTCAATCCTTGGATTTTCGATCTTAAATACCAAGACACAGTGGCTCGTATTCATTACAGAGGGACGGCTTATTTTGGATTAGCTCTTTTCATCTAAATACCAACATACAGAGATGAGCACTCATTATGATATATTTGGGAACGGTGTCTCGAGCTCTCCCTATTCTTACAACTAGACTCTTGAAATGCTACCAGTGGTCAAGGGTGAAGTCACGAACCATAATGAAAATCCCTGTATCTCGAAAATAGTACATGTTGTCGGGTTGTGATTTGAAGCAGGATGAGGCAGGATCATAGCAACACAAGCAGGAACATGTTTGAGCGATCTTGCTTCCAGTGTGTTGCCAAGGGTGAAGCGAGGGGTGATGTTAACAACATAATAAAAATCGCTGTATCTCGAAAATAGTATTTGTTGCCGGGGTCAGGTTTGAAGCAGGATGAGACAGGACTATGACTATAGCAGCACAAGCAGGAACCTGTTTTAGCGATCCTGCTTTCAATGTGTTGCCAAGGGTAAAGTTAGAAACCATAATAAAAATCGCTATATCTCGAAAATATTACGTGTTGCCGGGGTCAAATTTGAAGCAGGATGAGGCAGGACCATAGCCGCACAAGCAGGATTATGTTTTATGGCCGTTTCCACCAACTATTTTAGGGAAGCCCTTATGATAAGTATTCCGTAAAACGACAGTCTTCCATGGAGAAATGTTAGTTTAAGGAATACCTATCGTGAAGGCTTCCCTAAAACAGTTGGTGGAAACGGCCATTAGCGATCCTGCTTCGAATGTGTAGCTAACGGTTGAAGATATCAAAATGAGGTTTTCACCAATCAAGATTTTATGAATCTTGAGCCTCGGAGAAGGGGGTGCATTTTCTTGTATCCCGCTCAGAAATTAACGTTTCCTATTAAAACCGTCCAAATTGAGACACCCTGTATATAGAAGGTAGTCAGAAAGTGATAGAACTTATTTGCAGAAATTTCCCGAATTGTAGGTACAATACGCACCACCAACACCAAGAAATGGCCAATTTTCTGCCGGAGCAGCTACAGGCAAGCTTTCTGCCTGCTCAGAGACAGAGTAATTTCCTGCCAACGAGACAACCGAATCATATCCTTACAAAACAAAGTTTTTCACCACAACAACTAAATGATTTTCTGCTGGGACAAAAGCAGGATTATTTCTCGCAGATACAAGAACAAGGTAATCTCCTACCTGGACTGAGACAGAGCTATCACAAGATGTTGACCAACCAAATCATCTCCCAAATAAAATCTGACGGCGTATTTGACCAGCTCCGAAGCGAATGTCTTTCAGACGGTGATATCACGCCTGCATATCGAAATTTGAACCAGAGAGTTGAAGCCAATGTGAAGGCATTCTTGAGCACACAAACATTTGCAGGGAACTTGAATAAGTTACAACTAAGGGAGCAACTACGGAAAAATATTACTGAGTAAGACCCAAGATCCTTTCTAATTTAGTTAGTTATTCGATTATACACATACACAGTTATGGGCGGTATGGTATTTTCAGATCGAAAAATTTGGAATCATAAAAATCTGGTCCTGAAGATGATGACACAGTTCAGGAAGGAAACGTTGGCTTATTTGATTCAAATTTCTGAATAAAAATGTCCAAAGAATATTTTGATATTCACACCATATAGTAGAAATTTTACATTCAGCATTCCTCTATTTTCAAAGGTTAATTTTTCAGATCTGGCATCTTGGATGCCAATGTAGGACGTATAGTAGATCAAGTAGTGGATCCGAAGATTAACACCGTCTTCCGCCCTAAAGTACAAGAGGAAGTCTATAAGTTCCTGGAAAAAGACATAGCAGCCACTTTAACAAATAATTCAAAATACCATGATGAATCTAGAGATGCCAATATGCTGAGTGCAGCAAAGATCAATGGCAAGAAGGAAAGTGAAGAAACTAGAAACTATTTACCGAACATTTTTGATAGAAATAAGAAGAAAATTGGAGAAACAAGATCAGGATCTAAAGTATGTCATGATAAATATAAATTGGCTAATGCTAATAATTATCAGAAGATCAAGGTTGACCAGCGTGAGTATTTTTTTCAGAAAGATGAGGATTTTTATTTTTCAATATTTTTTGTATTATTTCAGGCGAGAGAAGGGCCCATAATAATTCTGACAATTCAAACAATAAACTCAAGACAGTTTTAAAAGCTAATGATCAAAATAAAGACAGAGAGATGAAGCAATATGGAAAAACTGAATCTATCAAAAAGAATGACAGAGAACGAGAGAAGAATGAGGATAAAACTAGACATGAATCAAGAGAAAAATTAAACAAGGAAAGATCCCACACAACAAATAAATCTTCAGTCAAATGTAAGGAATCCTCAATCAAAAACGAAGACAGATCAGGCAGAATTAAAGTTAAGAAAAATAAGGGAGAATCAGACAAAAATAATTCAAAGGAAAATGAAAAAGACCATACAACTGAACTAACAGGCAAAAAAGAGTATGATAGAGAAAAAAGCAACTCAACTAAGCATAGAGACGGATCGGTGAGCCTTCCTAAAGAAGACAAAGTTGTTTCAAAGAAAAAAAAATCTTCAAACAAAAATAAACAGTGTTCCACCAAAGATAAAGATTCCTCGAATAAATTAACATCAAGCTCAAAAATTTCAAAGGTTGAAAATGAAAAAACTGATGGACACTCCAAGTCTGATAAACTCAAACTGAAAAAAACAGTAAATTATCATAATAATGTCCAGGTCGAAAATAAAGATATCCGTTCAGTAGAAAAATACTCAAATCATGGTTGTAGTGAAATAAGTAAGTCTTTTAATCTATAGAAGGTAATTCGATGTAAATACATGCTCTGATTTTTTTTTTTTTTTTGTAAATTAGGAAATTATTTCAGTTATCATGCTTACAGGTTCTAGCGCTGATTCAGGTAAAGTGGAGCAAAGAACCACAAACGGAAAATCAGAGCCCAGAAGTTCAAGTGCTACAAAAACAAAGGTGAGACATATAGTTTTTCTAGAAGTAAACTCATCTTGCGAAATTCCTAATTTATACCTAGGTGATAAAAACCACAGAAGAAAAAACAAAATCAAGAAGTCCGTATGGTATTGAGACGCGGGTAAGATCTATAACTTTATTATTTTTCCCAATTCAACTTTCTTTGCGCAATAATATGGACATAATCTACGAAATATGAATCAGTCAAATAACCAATGGAAGGAAAAGCCTCCTTTTTATTCAATTATTATCTCGTGAACCTTCCTATGCGATGTTGCTGGATGGTGCGAATGCCGCAAATTAGGGAAAAGTTAAATTTGGCTATATCGTTCTGTTACAATATTTTTGTAGCATCCAACGTCCATTAGCTGTACAGTTTCTGAAAACAAAATTAACTCGATTAAACACTGAAACTCTGGATCCAATTGACATGAACCATGAAGACAGGTTCTACTGCCATAATCTCAAGAAATACCAAAAATCTTTGAAAACAGATTAGAGCCGCTATACCTAGTGACTAACTAACTATACATACATAGGAACTATCATAATCTAATCTACCTACAAGTTAATGCACGGGCTACATAATGCATCGCCCTGTATATAGCATCTAATACACAGGCTACGTAAATCACCCTCTGTATAAATTTGAAACTACTTACATACTCAGGAAACAATTAATTTATAAAAACACTGATAATAAAGGGGACGAAAATACATTGCGGAGTTTAAGGCGGGTGACAAGGAACTGACGTACTTCTTTGACATTGATGAGTGGTGAAAGCGACTTTAAAGCTAATGGTTTTTCTGGGCTTGGTTTAACACTTTTGTTTGAGATTAAGCGACCTGGATATTCAACTTCCGACTGTAGGAATTCACATTTAATAATATTGATTGAAAACCCATGTGTTCCTAGAGTTGTAAAAACTGCTGCTAGATTAGCAAGTCCTTCCTCAATTGCAATGGACATCATCCAGCAAGGTAAACAAGGGGGCTATTCCATTTCTAATTTCATTCTGTGAAGCAATATTTATGGCGCGTTGGAAGATAGAAGGGGCATTGGCAAGACCGAAAGGCATCCTCAAATAGTCATACTGGCCATCTGGTGTTATGAAGGCCAGTTTCTCAACTGAATCATCCTTTATTTGGTGAACTCCAGCAGTCATGTCGAGTATAATGTAACATTTGCTCTGACCTAATCGGTCAATTTGATCGTCTATTCGGGAAAGGGGAAACAATCTTTGGACAACATTGTTAAATCTGTTTTATTTTTTATTGTAGCAAAGCAAAAAGAAGAAGGCTGCAGAAATGGCAAATAATAGCAAAAAGGATTAAGTATCAGTTAGGTAGGTACCTACTTAAAATTAGTTAATGGGTTGCCTGAACTTTTTGTAATGGATAATGATTCCTACACAAAATCTCATTAAAATACCAAATGTAAAATTATTCAACAATTTCATAGATTTTGAGAGTTTGGTTATCACGTACAAAATGTATAGGATTTGGTATTTTCAGGTCCAGCCAATTAAATAGGCTGTACTTTGGATCGTTTCAAATTAAATTCAATTCTTAGTTGAAGAAGTTCTAGAATATATATTTTATTATTATGTTGATTAGTTATTTATAGTTCAATTTTGTAATATATAATTTGTTCACTGGTATTACATAGGTACCGGGCGATCTTTTATAAATGTCACCCTCTTTTAACTTTTTCATTTGATGTTTTTAACAAAAGTGTCAAAAAGTTTGAAGAAGTTATCAAAAATTTTTAACAAGTCTTAAGGTTTAAAGTCAACCCCTATTTTCTGAACCTTGTGTTCAAAAATTCCAAAAAAATATATGTTTTATGGTTATCGATATACTTCATCCATATTTTTTTAAAGCAAATTTGACTTGCCATTTTTGAGTTATATCGCAAAAACTGAAAAAAAAAGTAGTTTTTCACCATTTATTTCAAAACGAATAAACTCTGTTTTTTTTTTAAAGATAATTCCCCAAGTCAAAAATTTAGTAACTATGTTAATGTTGGCAACACAAGCCTTTTCTACATAAAAAATTTGAAAGCATCGACAATTTTACATTGTATTGCCAACATAATGTCATTTTGACTTTTATTTAAAAAAAAAACAACACATTTTAGATGAAGTTTCCCATTATTTTTCTTACGAACTACTATTGCAATTCTACGCGACATATATTTTTTTCAAATTTTTTGAACTTGTAGTTTTCTCGGTACTGAAAAAATAGTTGGAAATACGCCCGTAGCTACACTGTTTAGAAAAAATCCGACGGATGAACGTTCAAAATTATTTGCGTTGGTCGAAACCACAACCCTGTTTATGTAAAACAGAATAATACTTCGAACTGCTGTCAAAAAAAGAAAAAACGTTACATCACACAATTTAACCAAATGAAGATTTCTATTTTTTTTGACAATCAAGTTAGGGCACACTATAGGGGCGACAGCATTGACATCGCGCGTTGCCGTAATAAACTATAGGCCTGACTTTAAACCTTAAGCTAGACTTGAGATAGAATGAAAAAGTCAAATGAAAAAGTTAGGGTGGGGTGACATTTATAACAAATCACCCTCTACAGGGTGTAAAGTTATAAAGTACCATCCCCTGTAACTTTTTTATTTTTGATCGTACATATAAAAGTTAAAGATGGTAATTTATAACTTAAAGAGTGGTAGTTTTAGTGGCATGCAGACGCATTAGTCAAAAGTTAATGAAAAATTTTCTTGTCTCGCCTGGGATTTGAACCCAGGGCCCGGATTCCCAACTCACGTTTTGATAGTATTGTCTATCTATTTTATATGGACGATACTATCGAATCGTGTGTTCGGAATCCGGGCCCAGGGGCCTCATTCTGTAAAGAACGAACCGTTCGATTCGGTAGAATTTCTTCGATTGTGACGTCATTTTCGGAATAGCTTCCGTGCTAGCAAACCGAAAATGACGTCACAATTGAAGAAGCAAATGTACTCATAATTCTAGATTTTATTATCACCCTGTAGATTTTACATATTTTTATAGTACCTAATTCAAATAAAATATTTAGTATATTCGGTATTTTTTTTCGGCAAAACCATGTCTTCCTTCGAAATTTCAAATTCCAAATCGACGTAGTCCAAGGCGTGGGTCTAGGACTGGCGGGTGGATTAGATAAAATGAGCCGCTTCTGATTTAACGAACCACTTTAATGATGAGGCGACTTCCCAAGTTTTTCCGCAACTTCAGGATTTGAAGTTATGTCGGGTTTTGAACCGTTGGCACTGTCTCCGTCTCCACCAAAAACGAAACATCTCTGGAGTGTCGTGTTTTTTCGTGAAGTTAGTGGTCTTCTGGATGGTAGTATGTGTGCCAATCAAGCTAAAAGTATCAAGAGATATTTAAAATAGATACCTATCTATTGTTTGTCGATTTTTATCTGACACTTTCCGTATGAGGAGCGAGGGGGTGAAGTATAATGGAAAAAACAGATGTGACGTCAGGTGACCATTGGCGTTTTAATGTAGGGTGCCACCAGCTCACATTCCTTTCGAGTATCAGATTAAAATCGACGGACTTTATGTCTAGAAGTTTTATTAAGGTTTTCATACCTGGTTGACTGCAGATGGAATACCATGGTCATTGGTCACAAGTTCTTTATATGCCTGATAGCATAGTTTAATACTTCAATGTTCATGGTTGAGCCATCCACAACTCTTCTAACTAATGCTAATTTTCATTTCTCAAGCTGAAAAAAAAAAAAAAAAATACGTATTACATTCGTTTTAATTCAATAGACGTGATCAAATTGTTTAAATTTAAAGTTACCAGAGGCGCATATACGGGGAGAGGGGGGCGGGGGTAATAGGGGTACTTACCCCCCAGAAAACCAGAAAATTTTTTTTCTACTGACGTTTCATAATAGCAACTTTTCGATTGTCATTTCAGTTTTGAAACGACATTCTTTTAGGCACTGAGTGCGTGAAAGTTACTTTTAGGCACTCAGTGCGTAAAAGTGACTTTTGAATGCGTAAAAGTGACTTATGAGTGCGTAAAAGTAATTTTTAAGCACTAGTGCCTAAAAGTGTCATTCATTATTCAGAAATAATAAACACACTAAACACATATTTGAATTTTGTTTTGTATTTATTATGAATATTGAAAATGGAATTACTGAATTGAACGTTTGGGTTACTCAAAACAGAACTTTGTGTTATTACCTACTTTCTAGGATTTTAATTATTGATGTCGAATTTTGAAAAGAAAATCGCATGAAAAGTGTCATTTCAGTTTTGAAACGACATTCTTTTAGGCACTGAGTGCGTGAAAGTTACTTTTAGGCACTCAGTGCGTAAAAGTGACTTTTGAATGCGTAAAAGTGACTTATGAGTGCGTAAAAGTAATTTTTAAGCACTAGTGCCTAAAAGTGTCATTCATTATTCAGAAATAATAAACACACTAAACACATATTTGAATTTTGTTTTGTATTTATTATGAATATTGAAAATGGAATTACTGAATTGAACGTTTGGGTTACTCAAAACAGAACTTTGTGTTATTACCTACTTTCTAGGATTTTAATTATTGATGTCGAATTTTGAAAAGAAAATCGCATGAAAAGTGTCAGGTGTCAAGTAAAAGCAGGTAACAAAGATTTTGGGCGTAATCGACTTATTCACATGAAATAAAATTGTGTTTTTTTATTATAAAATGCCAGTAGAAAAAATCTTGTATACAATACGTTACGAAACGATGTCTTTTAGTCACTCGACGTGTTGTCCAACTCGGCTTTGCCTCGTTGGACAATTTTCACGTCGCGTGCCTAAAAGACGCTCATTTCGTAACTTATTGTATAAATAGCTAAAACCTATCTAAAATCGAACACTATTGAAATACTACTAACGGCAGCAGTGGCGGCTCGTGGCCCAAAAATTTGGAGGTTCTGCCCTAGTGGCATATTCGTTTGGGATAGGGTGACGACCACGGCAGAATTTTTTTTCGGTTTCCACGGCCACACCGAAAAAGGTTCATTTTAAATCTTCAAAAAAATTATTGTTTCTATATAACCATCAAAAAATACACAACTTTCGTTATATTTTACCAACCGAAAACGTCATTTTCGTCACTAGTGATAGAATATCCCATAACGTTAATTTTCGTCACTAGTGACCAAAATGAATGATTAGAATTTTACATGTTAAATACATTCTTTCAATTCAATTATAATTTAATTCTCTGAAGCACAATGAAAAAACACATACGTAGTTCATCACAAAATTACCTAAAACCGAGAACTTTTGATAGATGGCGCCTTGATTCATTCACGTTTTTAAGCGCCATCTATCAAAATCAAACCAAGTAGGAACACTTGTGAGAAAAATAAATAAGTTGAACAGCAAAAATCAAAACATGTGAAAGTATAGTGTTCTACTCGTCGAAAATAATTTTTCCTACAGCCGTGCGGAAAAATCGATTTTCCGCACTTATATGCGTGCGGAAAATGAGTTTTCTCGCACGGTGCGGTAAAACTTTTTTTTTGACATAACAGTGCGGAAATAGCTATTTACCTAACAAGTGCGGAAAATGAATTTTTCCGCACGCGGCTGCCGTTCACCGAACGACGTGTAGCGGAGTTCGGTGATGCAGCCGAGTGCGGAAAAATATTTTCCGCAAGTGTTAGGTACAATATTTTTCCTACAGGCGAAAAAATGTAAAATTTTTCTTTTTTTTTGACATATCAGTGCGGTAAAATTTTTTCCGCACTGACAGCCGTGCGGAAAAACTTTCTCCGCACTGATATGTCAAAAAAAAAAGTTTTACCGCACCGTGCGGGAAAACTCATTTTCCGCACGCATATCACTGCGGAAAATCGATTTTTCCGCACGGCTGTAGGAAATAGTTATTTTCCTAACAAGTGCGCAAAGTGTTACTTTTCCGCACGCAAACACAGTTATACGAACGACGCGCAGCGGAGTTCGGATGAGTGTTTGCGTGCGGAAAAGAAACTTTGCGCACGTGTTAGGAACAAAATTTTTCCTACGAGCCTCATATCAGGTAGGTAACAACAAAAATTTAAAAAAAAAACGATAATTTGTTCAATTATTTTCAATTAACCTGAAGCGAAACTATTCATTTATCAAAAAATTACATAACAAAAAAACAGGAAATTGAAATCCTCGTCAGAGCTGTTCATCTTAAAGCGTTTAAATTTGATGCGAAAGAAGTTTGTAGATTCTTACATGTAAATTGAGAACACAAATCTGACAATGTGTCAAAGCTTATTATATTCAGTGTTTGTATAGATGTTGGCTGATACCTATAGAAACAGAGGAAAAATTTGTCATCATGTGTCAAAGTCGACAGGTGCTTGACAATTATTTTTACTTTTCGGCACTCAGTGCGGATAAGGCCCGTATCCGCACTGAGTGCAGAAAAGTGTAACTTTGAGAACGATAATGCGTGCGGAAAAGTACTACTTTGCGCACGCTCGTAGGAAAAATATTTTATTTACAACCACATACGTAATGTTGACATTTCTGACTTTTCAAAAGTTTGAAAGTGACACTTTTTTGAATTTTACTTTCTACCCGGGTGGAAAATGGTCCCGGGTGGAAAGTGCTCACTTTCCACCCTTTTAGATGAGTCAGAACTTGTCAACAAATTTTTAAAAATTTTTTTTGGTA